GGTTCCAATGTCCCCAAAACAATTTCCAAACCGTTAGTGTGTCATTTAGACATGCAAATTATGTTAACATAACCAACAGTATTACTCATCCTGATTAAAAAAACGACGGAAATATTCCTGCTCTTTATTCCCTTTTCAATTTATTAACAATAATATCATGCAGATTCAATGTCCAATTTTTTGTGTATAGCGCCAATTCCCCTAACAGAAGTTATCTCAGGACACTTTTCAAATAGAGCAGGTCTAACCAACCGCCCTTTTTAACATTTACAGAGACCCAACAGTACCACCATGGGAGCAGTGCACTTACGACGGTGATATCCGCACGTTATACTATCGATCAAGCCTGACTGAAATTAATCATATCTAAATTACAAACATGTCTTAAGGACATAAAATCCTGGATGAGCTGCAATTTTCTGATGTTAAACTAAACAAAATCCTCCCGTACTGTGTGGCCAACAGCCTTAGAGACTCACTGTCCTACAGGAGTATAGCTACTCTAGATGGCATTTATTGGGCCTAGCCACCACCCGTCCCAGGATCTGTTGGAGTTGTATCTTTGATCAGGATTGTCATTTAATCCCACCATAAAGCAGATCTCTAGGACTGCCTTCTTTCATTTACGTAATATTACTGAAATTAGACACATCTTATCACAGACAGATGCAGGAAATAATGGTAAAAGGTAAATGGACCTGACTTGTATAGGCCCTTTCTTAGTGTTTTTCCGACCACCTCAAAGCGCTTTTCACACTAGGTGGCCACATTCTCACCCCTTCTCCACCACACATTCACTCAGTGATGGCAAAGTCCCATCGTACCAGAAACTGAACCATTTCAATCACACATTCACACACCGATGCACGGCATCCGGAGCAATTTGGGGTTAGTATCCTTGCTCAGGATACTTTCGACACGTGGCAGGAGGAGCCGGGGATGCGAACCAACAACAGTGCCGGGGGACGACACCTCCTGCCGCTCTGGAGCTACAGCCCGCCCCTGACTCCATGCACTTTGTTACTTCTAGCGCTGGGATTACTCGCAACTCTTCTGTTGTCAGGTTGCCCTAATGAAGTCATTAAAGCTCCAGATTATTCAAAGCGCTGCAGCCAGTGAGTACTCGAGCAGGAACTAGGACCAAAGAGATCCACATCTCTCTTGTTCTAGCTGCTCTGCACTGCTCCCTGTACCAAATGTTAGAATGAGATTTAAAATTCTCCTCTCACCTGATAAGCTCTGTCATGGTCAGGCCCCTTTCATTCTTAAAGCAGCTCATGAGTACCCTATTCCCCTCTAGAACACTGCGTCTCTTAGATGCAGGTTACTTGTGGTTCCGTTATGTGAGTCTCTAGAAAGTAGAAAGGAGCCCGAGCCTTCAGTTACCCAAGCTCGCCCTCCTGTGAGACCAGCTTCCGGTGTGTGGTTCGGGAGGCAGACACCTCTCCAATTTAAGAGTCAGGCTAGACTTGCCGTATTTGAGTAAGCCTGTAGGTAGTTACGGACTGGATCAGGTGAGTCCGAATCGGGTGGTACTGTTGGGTTCTGTAAATGTTATAAGGAGTTCGGTCCTAGACCTGCTCTATTTGAAAAGTGTCCTGAGATAACTTCGTTATGAATTGGCGCTATACTAAAATACAAATAAAATTGAATTGAATAGCTGCGGAAGAACAGCTGTGAGAATAAATTGTATAAAGAATGATAGAATATAGTTTTTAATAGTGTTAATTAGATTTTTAATTATGAAACATACAAATACCACCAATGTTCCCCATGTGGAGGTGCAGCATGTTTGCATACCTTATAGACATGAAGAAAGAGTATAGAGAGGTAAAGGAGGATGACGATGAGGAAGGGCAAGATGAAGACGATGGCCAGAGGGGTGAAGACCCACAGCAGGTACTCTAGAACGCTCAGATAGTCCTCCACCTGACCAAGGCCTGCCCATTCCTCCCATGCGTGAAACACACACACCTGTGGACCAAGACAAGACAGGTCAGTAGATCCACCACTTTGTCCAGACAGACATCTCAACAACTACTGGATGGAATGACATGAAACTTTGTACAGACAGTTGGGTTTGCAGGAGGATGATTCCTAATGACTTTGGTGTTCCCCTAACAGTTAAAATAGTACTAGCAGCAGGTTAATATATTTAGTTCAGAGCTGCAAACAATGTGTATTGTATATAAATTTCTATTGTATTAAATTCACAGGCAAGTTCCTGAGGTGGAACACCTGAACACTTAAACACCTAAACTAAAATCAAGGTGCACTGTTAAAAACCTAAACGTTAAATGAGAAAATATATATATTTAACTAACCATTTAAGCAGGTACACTAAACAGGCAGTACACAGAGGCCAGTTTGTATTCAGGCTCTAGGCTAAAGCTATGGCAACAGAAGCTACAGCATGAGAAATACATCACGTAACAGTCCACCGGTCAGTGTTACCATGCTGAACATCAAATACACGTACAAAAACTCCAACTACCAAATTACAGGGTAGACCATCAACGTGTTCTGCATTTAAAACCAGACTGAGGTGTTCAAATATAAATCTGTGCCAGAGGGCTCACAACTCATTCAGTTGACTGGAGGGACATGAAATGTGCAATCTCAATGTTGTGCAAACATCCCAAATTCGACTTTTAACTGTCCCAGACTTTTGCAGAGCAAATGTAAACATACAAACATTTTGAACACTATTATTATTAAGCCAAATAATCATAAACTTAATAAACAGGGACATCATTCATTTGTAAGTAAAAAACAAACAAAAAACTACAAAAGGAGGGAGAAGATCAAACAAACTACTTAAATATACAAACAAGTTATTTACATATAAGCTATAAGAACACTCCAACCCAGAGAGCCGGTGAGAAAGAGTGAGAGAGAATCCCCCACATGCCACAACAACTGACTCTAAGAGGAGAGGGAGAGATTCCGGCACTGCTGGCAGAAGAGCGGTCAGCTGCAAATACTCTAAGCAGCATGCATGTGAATGAATTACAATCTAATTTAATATATTTCTCACCTTTTCCCTGACAGTATGAATAAATTGCTAAATTTGTTGTTGGTCGAGGGTCTAGGAGGGTCTGAAAAGTCACTAAATCTAGCAAGAAAGTTGCCAAGTAGGCAATAGTAAATCTCTTTGATTGATTTTGTGTGTGTAAGAGTGTGTGTGACATAGAGCTTGTGCTGGCACCACCTAACAATTGAAATAATATATATTCAATGACACATAAAGGTAATATGTCATCTGTAATGATACATTTACTTTATCTTTGTGTAGGTGCTATTAGTATTATTGCTGGGACATCCTACATTTTGAGCACTGTAAACCATAACAAACAAAACTTGAGGGTGACATTACCAAATAAGCAGTTACTGCTTATATAAGCAGACACTTAAAGGAACATAATGTAACTTTTCTACCTCAAAATAACATTTTCATTATCGATTTATCCGTCAATAATTTTCTTGATTAATGGATTAGTTGTTTGGTCCATAAAATGTCAGGAAATGGTGAAAACTGTTGATCACATATGATTAGTTATCAAAATAGTTGGCAACTAATTTAACAGTTGACTAATTGATCAATCAGGTCACTAGAGCTGCACTTACACCACTGATCACTATCAAATTATGGATGGCACGATATCACTTTTTCATGTCCAACACATGCAACCTTGAGTATCTGCTGATGCCGATACCAATCCAATCCAATCCAGTCTTTTCCGTCTCATTAACAACTAAGCTGCTAATAATACATTTGAATAGATGCACTTTGCACATTTTAGGCTGATGGACGAATCAGATCTGATCTGATATCCAACTGATACCGGCACATTCCTGGATCAAATAACCATAGGTTCAATTGAGTAATCAACCATTTCCTTAAGTAACTAAATTAAAGTACTGCATGAACACAGACTGAGAGAATGAACAGCTGTCAGGTGGTAAATGGCAGTACTAAATGGACGAGTTCATACCAGGAGGGAGACAGTGTCCTCTGCTGCCATCAGACAGGATTGGTTCCCACTGTCTGACATCCTGCTGACAGCCACAGACTGTGGTTCAACAGCTGGTGACAGGATCAGTCAGTCGGACGGACAGACTGACAGACAACTTCAGGGGGAGGATGAGTGTGCATGGAGAGCACCTGCTGCTACATGCAGGCAAGCTGAAGCCCAAGAAAACAAAAATGTCTTCTTGTTAAACTCAAACTTTCATTTAGGTAAAGTACAGTCTGTGTGAGGAAAACACGGCTACATTTGAGGGGTTTTGTCAATAACATTTTCGAAAACAACTTGACTTTCTTAACAAGTCATGCTAAGTTAGGTTTAACGTTAGATTAAAGTGTCGATGTTTGAACAAGCTAGTCGGCATATAACTAGTCATATATGCTAACGTTATATCAAATGGCAGATATTTGTATGATTTAATGGAAACTAGTTAACCTTAGCTATAGGGTTACACTGTTAATAGGTACACCAGCGAAGAAACGTAACTATAAATGCGATAATAATAATATAATGCGATAATAAACTGAGCTAACTAACGTTAATAGAGCAGAACTAACGTTACGTTGGCTAACGTTACGCTGAACGCAGAGTGAACACAGACAACGTTACCTCAGACAGCTGTGTACAGAGCCATTTAAACACACCAACGTATATTAAACGTTACAGCAGCTCAACATACACAAACAGCTAGCTAACAACTGTCCTGTTCTTAACCCCGGAACGGTTTGAGTGCAACACCGTCCCTGGAAACCAGCGTCGTGACCACGGCACAGAGGTTCCACTCAATAGCAACAGAACTTCATTTTTGACACATACTGTTCAAAATAAAAGCGCAAAATTAGGGTGAAAAGGGTGTACTAAAATGAGCCAATTGATCCAGTGTAGTCAGATTCAGATTCAGATTCATAGTACTTTATTATCTATTACATTTGCACAAAATGGAAACTCACATACAACACAGAAATTTTATGTTACGGTAGAAACGTGAATGTAACATTTATTGACTTTTTCCCCATAATAACTAAACTAAACCCTAATAACTCAAGAAAATACTGTATAGTGGACATCTCCTCTCTCATTCTCAAAAACAGAATTTGAGAGAAATCTTTGACATTGAAATTCAGCCATATATACTGCACATTGTGTTTATTACCATTTTATTGCTCAGTTTGTTTGCGCCAATGTTTTGCACAAAAGAAACTTGGAGGAATAACTTTTATTCTGAAAATACATGGCAGGAAGTGTCATTATTGTCATTGCCAGCGGAACTGGAAATCATGCCCGCAATTAACGTCAGTGTGATGTTGAAGAGAACCAGCTTGTAACCGGTGTGTGAACGTAATGTGCTCGTGCTGCTCGCGCGTGCTTCAGAATCAGTGAGGCGATCGTCATGATGCTGGAGAGGAGCAGGGTGACGGTGGTGGCGGATATCTTCTTTAGCAAGAGGCACACATCTGCGGAGGAGGAGATCGTTCACTGTCGCTGCTCCAGAGCCTTCGTACAGTGAGCTCCTCTTACCTCTCTTAAAGTCAACTGCAGTCAGAAACCAGTGTATCTTCTGGTTCCTACAGTATGATGTTTGACACCAGAAGGATGTTTTCACTTTCATCTGCTGAAAGTGGAGAGTTTCTCTGTGCTTATTGAAAAGCTGATTTTAAGGGGCGGGCCTACCAGCAGGATTAGTGACATCATCCTGGTCCAGCATGCAACTTGTACAGTGTGATGTAGAAACCTGAAGCCACCAGTGCACATCCACTGAGAATGGACTTCACAGTGAAGTAGATGCGACTACAGTGAAATGTAGGGAACATCTTGTGTCCAGCAGCAAAACTTTAGAAAACATTTGCATTTTCAGAGATTCTGGAAGTTATAATGAGGTAGAAGGAGGAGATGACTTTTTATGTGGAAATTAGACTTTTTCTGCAACAAAAATATATCAGATATATTATTATAGATGTATATATTATTGTTTCAAGCAGACTTTTGGTGTATATGTTTTAATATATGCCTGGAGCGGATCTTTAAAGATATTGAATATAGGAATTAAGCTAGCATTATTATATGTATTATCAACAAATCCCTTAGTTTGTCTCTGAATACTTTTCGACTTCTCTACCCTGTCTGTTGCTCTCAGTCCCAAGTTCACTGGTTTCTACTGAAGACTTTAAAAACGCCCCACAATTATAGAATACATATTTACAACCAGCTTTGGGAACTGAATCACAGCTGCAAATATACATCATGAACACATACAGTATGAACAATGACATCTTGAAATCTACAGAAGGAGAGGTGCAGTGACTGAAAAAAATCACTCTCGGACAGAAGGATGTCGATCACAAACACCAGATAGCATGATCACCAAAAACAAACACTCGTCGATCACAGACAAATTATAAAAACAGAATAGAGGAATGGAAATATTGAAACACACTCTATCAGAAGTTGCGACCACAGAAGAGCTGTCGTTTTCTTTCTGGACAACTCACACAGAAGAATGACATAGTGATGACACCAGAAGAAGACAGTGTTTGGCAGCACAAGAAGATGGATGAGAGAAGGGTAATGGGAGGATTTAAACATTGTAACAGAGAGGTAATAACTCACAGTGAGTTAACGCTGCAGATGGATGAGCTGCTAGAGTGCGCGTTACCTCGACTGCGTGTTAGAAAACTGCACATGCACAAAACAAAAATGGGGGAGGGGGGAACATCATATAGGATGAAGTCAGAGAAACAGGCAGACACCATTGGACATTTCTCTGAGCCCTCTGTCTCCTTAAGCCTCCCATCACATTTCAATGCAATGAGCAGTCAAAGCTCAGAAACACAAGACTAAAAGTGAACCAGAGAGGAAATGTCACACAAACAGACTATCAGGGACATTCTGACTGCCATAGTGACAGTTAAATCAGGGAAATACTATTCAAGCCTAGATATAAGTAGGATTATACTGGAATCTAAAAACAAGCAAAATGTCACCATAAAAAAATTTATGTAACTGTTACACAAAAAGCACATTTTTACAGATAAAGGTAAAGCTGCTCTGGATACAAGAATAATGTCATGGGTGGAGTTGAAAACAAATGGCTGAATATTAAGCTAATTACCAAAAACACAGTAATGATGGGGCTCGATTACAGCAGTAAATTGTGCTGCTACGTCCATGCACGGTCAAGTCATATGATGGGAGGTCAGCAGCCTGTTGAACCAGCTGTGCATAAGTTCAAACGTTGTCTAGTTATACTATAAATTATTACTAAGTTGTTATTTATACATTACTAAAATAAAACTGGTTGCACCATGGAGGTAAGTCACAACTTAACTCTAAGTAACTAAATAAATACATGCCCCTAAGGTGGCATAAATCATAAAATGTTACAGAAAAACACTAACTGATGGTAAAACAGCAGTTTTTCTTTCACCTATCATCATTTTTCACAAATTGCAGCCATTTGGTGACACATTAACTTAAGTAGAGACCTAATTTATTGATATGATATCGTTATCAATCTACATAGCTACGATGTGCTATGATGCCAAGTGGCTCATGCCGGCCAGAAAGCTAATACACACAGTGTTATGACCTTACGTCCAAACTAGTTATGCCTGAAGTAATTGTGCTGCAACACATTTTAGTTGCTGAATTAGTTACAAACTAATTATTAGTTACTGAGCCTCTAGTGTCCACTTTACACCATAACTTAAGAGAGAACTTACACATAGCTAGTGCAACCCAGTTGCTTGGCATCGTTTGATTACAAAATTTGTATGAATACTTTGTGGCTTTATTGATAGCAAAATGGCCTGCTGTGTTTCTGTGTAGAACAGAACTTATAGATGTAGAGTTAATTTAACTGGCCGCACTTAAAGTGCAACTGGTCTCAGTTCTGGTTTAAATGGTTGGACCTTCCACTGACACTAAGACGCTCTGTTTTCCAACCCAGTTGTTCAGTAACTCTTGCATTTTACAAGAACAAGCCAAACACACATATTACCCTATAAAATGATAAACCAGGTTGATTAGAGTAGAGTCTGCTGACTGTAAAAGCCAAACCTTCGTCTTTGCTATTCAGCATTGTCAGATGAGGTAGTGACCATGCTCTCCAAAAACAGTTCTCCAGGAGTCTTTTTTGATTCCGCTCACTGAGGTTCAACTCCACCAAGATTATTTATGCCTCTAGAGCAGCACTCTATGTATACAACTGAGCCTTAACAGCAAATGCATAACAACACAGATTGTTACAGAATAGACAGTATACAGAACAGTATCTTTAATTCATTAAGAAAAGTAAAGTATTTGAAAAAAGGACAAAACAACACACATCAAATCCCAGTTGGGGCTACATTGTTAAATAACTGGGCCAATAAAGAAGTATAATATATATAAGTATCAGTTAACATCTTAATGTACACTATTATATATTGCATTGACTGGATAATCTACAATAAGTACATAATTAGCCTTGTGAATGCATACACTGAATTGCACAACAGCAAGTGCCCATTGTGGTTGCATGTCAAAAAAATAATGTGCTATCATGCTTATACTGGCTGTATAGGGTGTAAAAATATCTATCACTTCACTTTTAAGTAGTCATTTCTATTTATTTTATTAGGGACCCTGCAGAGATCTACAGCAGAGGTCATTTGGGAGAGAAAACAGCCGTCTGCCTTGTGAGGAAAAGAAGTGAAGAACAGAATGTGTGTGGGTGAGGAGATATTAACATTGCCATTCACTGGGATAACTTTGTCAACATTATGCTTTGTTTCAACAAGGGGACATCATCATCATAGAGCATGCATGATAGTATGAGTGAAAGACAGGGCTTGTTAACGCCTAAAGAGTCTACATATTTAGGCTATACGCAGAATTTAAATGCTATTAGCTACAGCTATGGATTGCTCCTGTGTATCATTATATTGAATTACTGAGTTATTCTGTGCATAGCTGTTTTGTATTTTTGATTTTCTTTTGTATTTGCATTCATAGTTTTTAGGCTAGGGTTAAGGGTTTATGCTTCAAGCAAAAAACAAATCTGGGCACTGAATAATAGGGTAGGATGGAGGGAGTTACATCTTCATTTGTGTTTTGACATACTGGTGAACTGGTCTTTAGCATGGAAGGCAAGTTAGGGTTACAACAAAGGTACACTGAATTCCCGTCTGTCTTTTCTGTGGGTGTGTGCTCTGTTCTGAATGAGAAAACTAAAAAACAGAGATTTCAGAAAGCCAGAACAAACATTAGAAGAGGTCTACTTACGCTGTGATAGAAATGTTAGCGGCTGACATGGGGCTGACCTCCTTTACCTCCTTAGCCTTCTGTAGTGCAAGCTTCTTATTGATGGCCTCCTCTTGCTCCTCTTCATCCTAGCAGGTATGTGCAAAAAACATACATACATACATACATACACACATACACGTACATACAGCAAGTACTTTTAAAGGTTGTGGCCTTTATGTAACATTATTATGACCTTTATCTGTGCAGTACAGGACACCCATCAGATTTGAGCAACCAGGAGAGTTCAGCTGACATGTGGACACTTAACAGGCATGTCGACTCGAATAAACGTCAACACAACTAAACTATTTTCAACCAGCCAATCAGATGTCTTCCCATAAATTTTCAGTTTCAATATTATATTATTATTATTATAAGTGCAGAGAACCAAAACTCTATTTGAAACAGACTTATATTAGAGACAGGCCTTTATTTCAGTTTTTACTCGTTTACCTGTGAAGAATTTACATGTTCAAAACGCTATTTCCACACACTTCCACCTGTTAATTAAGCTACTGTTAATGAAACTCAACACTTAGTGCACAGATGTTACACATTAAAAGTCTTCTGGCATAGGTGTAGACAGGAAGTCTTACAATGCATCCGTCCACACCAAGGATGATAACTATAACAACAACTATAAATATACAACAATGGCGAACAACACGTTAGGATTACTTCCAGAGTGATTTGATGAATGATATTGTGGTTTATTTAACTTATTAAAAGCTTACACAATAAAATATTAGGCTGCAAATTACACATAAAAAAGGTTGTTTATCAGTGTGGATGCTTACATTGTTATCGTTATAGTTATTACTATAGTTATTGTTCTTGGTGTGGACGGACCTTTGCTCTGCCATATAACTCTATGCTTCATTTTATTTTATTTTATTAAATTTCATTTAAATCATTTTCCTATATTCTATTTTCTGTTTTTTGATGTACTGACTGCAGTTAGTGCTGTGGGAATGTACATTATACTTTATTATTGTGAAATATTATAGTACAGGTCATTCCACTACCCCTCAGAGATGTTTTAGGAGCAACTTTTATGGGTCAAAGTCATTTAATTGATTTTCGATTCCTCCTTTTTCAAGAGTAAGATCTAATTAGCACGTCCTCACTAAGATTTGCAACCGGACAAGTTGTCCAGAAGAGAACTTAGGTAAGTTGCTCACATAGTTGAATAGCTTCTTCTTCAGTGGTGACCAATAACAACTGTTTATTGCGATGACTTACTGAAACTGGATTTACACCAGTCATACTACAAAGTGGACAGTATTATGAAAGTAGCAAACCAAGGAACCCTTATATCCTGCGAATATTCTCTGTCTTGTAGAAAAAAAAGGGATAAAAGGCCATGTGCATGTGGGATTTGATTTAAGTTAAAGGACTTTTATTTATGGTTCAGTGGGTAAGACAGTGCCACTGCTTCTATCTCTGACTGTAAACTGCTATAAAGCCAGCATATATCAGGCTATAAAGACATACTGTACCTTAGTGAGCTCCTGGGCATTTGCAAGGTTATCAACAGCAATGGCCAAGAACACGTTGAGGAGTGTGTCTGGTTATTTGTGGTCTCAGGAAAAGATCAAATGATTGATGAACACAGAATCCATACTTACAATTTCAGCTGTTCTTCAGATCAATGATAACTGATTTCACTGTGCTATTAAGCTGCCTGACAGCCACAAAGTTGAATCAATTTGGATCAATTGGGCAGGATACAGTTTCCAAAGAGAGTGAGAACAATGAAATAAATGGAGGAGAACATTCCCCTGTGAACACCCCCCTGTGATTCGATCCCATGGTACATGACTGCATTCCAGTCCTCCCCAGTTAGGATCTGCAGGAGAGACACAGGCAAGTCCAGTTCAGTGGCACAAATAGAGAAATAAGAAAAATAAAGAAACATGATGGAGTTGACCTTTACCTGGAAGACAGTGAGAATCGCTGCTGGGAATGTGTCAAAGTTGGTTGTTGGCGTTTCATCTTCAAAATTAAACCTGCAGGGAGGAACAAACAGAATGTAATCAAGCTCCACATTCACTCCTCCACCTACTGGAGGACGGAGCAGCTTATTGCCCGCTCCATTAGGCCACACACTATTCCAGCACAATATATGCCTATTACATTTGAGTCGTCTGAGTGCCTAGTCTGTGCGACCTTAAGGCTGATCTCTGAGTGTTTATTCTTCTCAAATCAAGTTGTGCTAATGCTGACATTTTGTATCTCTGTCTGTCTACTGGGACCTAATTACATCTCCCCCCAACATGAGGGATGCAGATAGAGAAGGTCAGAATGCCAGCAGAATTTGTCTTGTGCCTTCTTAAAATCCATGAGAGCTTTTTTTTTAGACTGGATCTCATTAAAACACAACCACAGAAAGTAGACAGGGAAAATTGCATGTATTTCAGGAGCCTGTGAAATATGTTTTTATTCTATTCAAATTCTGCGCTGAGTTTTTTCCCCTCTGTGATTATAATTAGGTATGTTTCTGTCCACTCTAAATGAAGTTACGATGTTACAATGACATGCAAGGTAAAATTATCATTCTTCTGGTGGCAAGTTTGTTTGTTTGTTTGTTTGTTTGTTTGTTTATTAAGATCCCCATTAGCTTCTTTGTTGTTATGAAATTCCAAATAAAAACCATCAGTCAATACAGTAATGTATTTTTCAATTCAAGCCAAGAGAGACATTCTAGAAATGTTTGTTCCTATCCCACAAAAAAGAGCTACATGTAATTTTTGGATATTACCCAGTGAAGTATTGGACCAAACTATTGAGCAATAATCCAGGTTACTCAAAACCAAAGCTTGAGTTGAGTTAAAGTGACTGGTGGCTGTTTCTGGTTAAACAAAAGGTCTACCTTTGTAGGGATCCTTTCCATAAAGCTGTCAGACACTGAGAATAACAATCTGAGCCTGTCAGCGGCAAAAACAAGCACTGTTAGTCGTACTTTAACATGTGCATTTGTCCACTAGGATTAACATTATCTTACCTTGCAGCCCTTTTCACAAATACGTTTGCATCTAACCCTGTGAATAAGGGTTTATTCCAACCAAACCAGCACTGGTGATTGTTAGAAATACGTTTTTGATGAGTTTCATATTATTTCTGCCCCTTTGTTTTGGTCTGATGCTGATGCTGATACTCTAGTGCGACGTCCAGTGGCAAGTAAATGTTGTATATATAACCTTTAAATATTAATATGTCCCACTATCTCTAGGTGCATAAAAATATTGATAGTGGCTGAGGACTGAATCATGTTGCCTCATCCATGTTTTTAGAATAAGTTTATAAGTCTAGTCAGAAATGTCAGCAGTTGGCCTGTCAGTGGGACTTTACATGTTTGGACAACAAAAAAGTGTGGCCTTCTTCAAGATAAAAAATCATGAGGTTTAGCAATCAGGTCATGACTAACATGTTGACATGTTGATCTTGGAGAAAGCTGGAGGGGTTGTATGCCTAAATACCAGAGGGTATTTATAAACGTATTCTGAAAACTATACAACCTTTGAAAGGCTTAATGCTTCCTACAGAGGGGGCATGGGCTGACTTCTGTTGCTCAATAAAAACACTCCAACAGCATTGCGGTTGGGAAACACAGATTATCAGTTAATATGGAATACATGTGACCTTGGGTAAGACTGTATATCTTTTCTGGGATTATGGACCACAATCATTGAAGTAAATTGCGTTGATTCCAAGAGTACAGACGTATGATGTCTTCAGATCTGACTGACTGAGAAGAAAGTGTACAATTTTTTATTTTGGAACTCCATCAAGAGCCCCTGGTGGTCAGCACACCCCAAAGCTGGAGCCGCTGATCAATAGCTGTGTTTTATTTCTTTACAATGAGCTGCAGGAGTAGAAACAAAGAACTCACTGGCCACCAAACAGCTGCATGCCCAGCAGAGCGAAGACCACAATGAAGAGGAAGAGCAGGAACAACAGGCTGATGATAGACTTCATAGAGTTGAGCAGGGATACCACAAGATTCCTCAAAGAGTTCCAGTACCTTCACACACAGAATATATGCAGAAATATTATGGCGTAACCAGTGTTCCCAGCACACAGGCAGACATTTCTGATGACTCACTTGGTGACTTTGAAGATCCTGAGCAGTCTCAGAGCACGCAAAACACTGATCCCAAATGAGGCCCCGGGTTTGATGGCAGCCCAGATCACCTCAAAAATACTGCCAATGATCACCTGTGAACACAGTCTGATAAATGCAGCAGGCCTCCACAGCTTTCATTATACAATCATTATATCACTCAAATACAGTAGGCTACATCACTGCAATCACTTTTTGCCATTCGAACAATAATCAAGCACATTCTGTCCCCCTGAAAGACCGGTCCTGAATCATTTTCACACAGGACGACTCACCCCAAAGTCAAAACAGTTGAATGAGGAGTGGAAGTAGTTCTGGGGTCCGAGGCCATACATTTTCATGGACATCTCTGCCAAAAACAGGCCTAGGAATACAAACTCGGCCAGGTCTGTCCAGGGACAATGAGGAAACACACAGATTAATGCCCTGGGTTAAAAAGGGCCTCCCTGCTGATTTCCACAATTCAATAGAGCTGGGCTACGGCTGCCTGTACAGCTGTGCCCACAGCAAATAAAACACAAGAAATATTCTATTATTTAAGGGAATAGCTGCTGTATCCTCGCATGATGGAGTGTGTGAGGAGTATTTGCATGTGTTTCTGCAGTTTGTCCCAAGTCCCAATCAGTGTTATCTTCTTAAGCATAGAAAATAAACAAGGATAAGAGTAGCAGTTAAATTACAGTTAAATGACCCTTCGTATGCCCCGCCCCTTTTTGCTCTGTGCTCCAATAACAGTTGAGCGAGCCTCAGTCAGAACCTGGGTCAACTTCCTCCTTTCCTGTACTGCTATGTGCTAGGCTAATCTATGTTGAAAAGACAAAACAAAATTATGAAGATTGTTAAAAGGTAAAAGCGATCTTAAGTTAGCAAATGTTGGCAAAACGAAAAACAAAACAAAAAAAAAGCTAATTTACGTCAACTGTTAGCTAGCTAGTTACATCTGATAAGTAATGTTGTTGTTAATGATTAGCTACGCTTTTGACCATCACCAAAATGTGGTTGTCTTTTCAACATAGAGAAGCATAGCATATCTAAGCACAGGAAAGGAGGAAGTTGACCGGGGTTCCAAAAGGGGCAGGACCTAGCATTAGCATTTATCGAGGTTGGTCTAAATCCAAATCCATCAAGCCTAAACTCAAGCCTCCAGCATCCCCTTCGTAGGGTTGGAGGACTAGACTAGAGACTAGAGCTAGTGCTTGCCGGGGCTTAATACCAACATGGGTATCTATTCTTTAACATTTTGTGCTGCCAGGAATTAGAAAAAGTTACTTGTGCAAATTGAGTAAAAAACAGTTTTATTTTTTTGGTATTTATTTATCTATTAGTTTTCTGTTTTGGTCATTTGGCTTTGAGTGAATAATGTATCACTGAAACATTTTGGTAATAATCACTGGACACACAATTTTCTTTCTCTCTCAGATCTTGAACAAACATTGTTGACTGATCTTGTAGTAAGGAGTTGTTTTATACTCATGTATGCATTTCCCTTTTCTTTTCTTTTCCCCCAAGGAAATATTTACCAAAGTTTATAGCTGACTATGGCCATAACAAATATAAAAACATGACAAAAAAACAAAACAAATTCACTATCTATACAACTGCTGGTACTTACATAGAGCAGAGGTAAGCCAGTCAGGCTGGTCATAGTGTACTATGGCTACACACAACGTGTTGAGGCCAACCAGACACAACACAGTCCAGTAGAAGCTCTGAGACTTGACCAGACGGCGGATGTTGAACCGAATCCTCTTCTCTTTTCTCCTGAAGTAAGACGAGCTCTTGTTCTTGCCCTTCTCGCTGCCCCGGGTGTACGGCGACCCTTGGGGGGCAGTTGGAACAAAACACACAAAATGGCAATACAGTTATCAAGTCTAAAACTGAGGTGGCCTTACCAAATCAAGACTGTGTTTGAGTGTAGTTAATTTCAATCTAAGCCTCGCTTTACATCAAGGCAAGATGATATTATTTCACTGTAGAGCAATAGACTTGAAGTTGGCACTCATCAGTACAATCCAGCCTATATTTTTTGGAGGTGAGTTCCACAGGCACAGTAAAGGCCTCCGCACACCAACCCGACGGCCAATCGTCGG